CCCCAAAACCCCAAAACCCCAAAACCCCAAAACCCCTTCCGATTTTAATAAAATTGAATGGCTTATCCTAAACGTTTGAAATTAGATTGTCTGTTTGGTTGTTTCTGAGTGAATCCAGTGAGAGCTTGATGGAAGGCCTTGTTCCTAAATAGATTAGACCAAACCTTAGCAACGTACCTAGATTGGATTCTATGATTGTTCCTATAATCGTCTTCTATCTTGACTCTGATATTCATGTGACCTTTGTTCTTAAGAGTTTCTTTTCTTCTCTCCTTCATTTGAAGGCAAATGAATTCCAGGTTTTTCTTTTCTTTCAATTTCATGAAATCTCTTCTGATCTTATCACTTGACAAATTGCTGACGTCTGTCTTCAAAGCTGTCTGAAAGTACCTATTTTAAATCAAGAATAAGTTTTCATGAAGTTAGTTTTTACATTCATATCTACATGTGCTGTTTCGCTGTAGGCTGTTTAGCAATGTAGGTAAACTCTCTTCTTTTATGGTAAGATAATTGTGCTATTCTAACAATGGAGGCAAATTAATAAGCAAATTGGGGCTTCTTTAGATTGAAAGAAATGTACATTTGGTCGTTCTGACGATTCTGTTGATGCATTCTCTTATTTTTCCTGAAGTTGGCTGTTAAGTGCAGTTCTGAGCGCTTCTATACTTCTTCTCTTGTTAGAAAGTTTTTGCTTAGTTGGTTCTGCTTCAGTCCAAGACTGAGGGAGGTACTAAAGAATTAGAATAAGAGGTACAGAGCAATTTCTTTCTATACTATGATTGACAGTAGATTTTGGTACTTTTGTTTCGTAGCTTAGATTTAAATTCACTATTCCTTTAGAAATTGTAGAAATATTATTGTTTGATCGTTTCATATTCTGATCATGATTCGTTGGTGATATACTTCTCATATAAGGAACTTTATCTATTAAAACTCCATTATCATGCTCTTCCAATTTTCTCATTGACCTCTTCTTCTCTTTAACCATTTCATAGTTATGCTTAAGCATCTGGTAATATCTACTCTTTTGCATTTTATTTCTTAAAACCATCAACCTTTTCTTGCTTAATTTGCTTCCTATTTTCACTCAATATATAAAGCTCAATCTCCCGATCTCTCCGCTTCTCTTCAAACTTCTTCACCCTATTCTGCTCTATCTGGCCTTGAATCGATTCCAACGGACTCTCCAAATCTCTTATATCTGTAGACAGGATGAAGATGAGTTGGGAAGGACTTGAGCGAAGGTGGTTGAATGGTAGGGCTGGTAAGGGGCTATGGAGGTGTCGGTAATGTGATGGGTTTGGTGGTGGAGTTATGGTGAGGTAGTGTTTTGGTTAGTGTTGAGAGAGGTGAAGAAGGTAGGAAAGGGGGTAGATGGTTTAGGTGGGTGGTTTGGAAGAGAATTTTATTATGAAGAACTATTATTTCACTAATTTTTAAAAAGCTGGGGAATCCTAATAAAAAGTTGTATTACTGTTTTTAGATGGATATAATCTTGAAAAGATCTTAACTGAAATTGATATTATTTTTAGCAGCATTAATACCTTTGTTTATAATATTTGCATTTTTGGTTAAGACTTGAATACCAGAATGACTCGTGTTTAGTCGATTTGGAGTTTTAGCGGTCATATTTTTCTTAAATCCATGGTTCCTATTCAGCTCTCCAGAAACTATACCAATTTATTCCTCGGATTAGCTGGGATATACCTGATCTATTAAGCTGATTTTTCTTTTCTTGTTCGATCGTTGGGAACATATTCTTATATTTCTTTCAAAATTTATCGTCAAAAATGGGGTTTTGGGGTTTTGGGGTTTTGGGGTTTTGGGG